CTCAACTCGTAGGCTGCTGCCTTGAGAACTGTTGATCACACACTCTTACTCGTTCACGGCTGACTGGAGAACTGTCTTTGGCCACTGATACACTTTAACTGTCTCCGGGGACAGCTACAAGTTAACTCGACTACAATTTTAACTGTCTCCGGAGATGGCTACAAGTTAACTCGACTACAACTGAACTCGGCAATAGTCACATTACAACTCCACTCGCAGGCAGCGCAGCTCTCTTATATAGTGGCTGTGTGTGCCTGTTACGTAGCAGCGCTGTTACCTCACGCCGTCTTACGTCACCGCGCATTGTGCGTTACGTTACCGTGCGGAGGGTGGAGGTGACGGAGCGCTGACTCACCCGCCGCGTCACTGCTGGAGGGGGGTCTTCTCCGTTTCACAACATGTCACACACTATATATGTATATATATATCCATTATATGTATACAGTGGCCGTCTTATAGTGCACTCAATTTCACCTGTCACTTCACAACATGTTTCGGCAACATAGTGCCATCATCAGGTGTCCCAATTACGTCAATCTATTGCATTGCTTGCCCTCAAATATTTTCACAACACCATTTGAAAAGTATTTAAAAAGTCCATATTTGTCAACTATGATAAATTTACACTCGCTAAAACTTGTTAAGATAATTCATCTTATTTGTCTTAATTAAAACTTGCATGTGGTTCGTTCACTACGGGGTCGTTTTTCTTATTTTCTGTGTAAACCGCGTCTTGTGATGTCTGTTCCCTTCGTAGGTGCGAGTGCTACAACTTTCTTAATATCATTTCTTAGCTCAGTCTTTATTGTTATTTCATTTTAGTAGCCTGTCAACTATTAATTAGATGCCTGTCCAGCTTTACAAATGCATAATTTTATTTAATATTGTAATTTGTTAAACAGTGGCAGTGCAACTTAACTTCTGTTGACTCAGACATCTCCACACATGCTGTTGGACTCAGGCACACATCACTCAGGGGGGTGTGCTCTCTCTGTCCCTCTCTCCCCTCTGTCACCACTCTCATGCCTACCGATTTAACATCCCACTGTACTGTAGCTTCAAACACATGTTTATACTTATTAGGATTTTCATGTTATTTACTCTCATTTTCCAGAGTAATTTGAATGAACTTCAACCCGTACATGGTGAGGATCGATGATATTCCTGTGATGAGTGTGGACATTCTTTCAGTCAAGAGCAAATTCTGATAGCACATCAGTGCATACACAGTGGGGAGAAGCCATTTTGCTGTGATGTATGTAATAAGTCATTTAGTGATCATGGTAGTCTGAAGAGACATCAGTGCATACATAGTGGGGAGAAGCCATTTTGTT